AATATCTAATCCATATAGGGGATCGAAGGGGATGAAGAAGTCATATCCCCCTTAGGCTTATTTTTGTCATATAAAATATATGATAAAGCAATTATTGTATATATAACGGGATCTGAGAATAGTCAAAATCTTATTTACCCCATTTCAAAAAATCTAAGCACAAAACTAAATTCATATGTAATATATATTGTATATATACTATCTTATATTTAATTAATTAAGTTGTATTTTTAATTATATACGATAAGACGTATGTATGAGTATTTTACTATAAAACGAATTTACTATATCCATAAACCCCGTATACCAGATACAAGCGTATAGCTTAGTTGGTATATACGTAACAGCTATTATTGATGTAATTTATTGTAATTATTTAATTGTAATTGATTTGGCTGGACTAAACAAATAAGTAATACTATTATTGCAGATCAAGCTGATTATTATTGTTTATAATTTTAGTACCATAATATGGAAGTATAAATTTATTATTTAAGGGGAATATCCAATAATTGTTTTTAGTTTAAATCGTTAAATTAAGAATAACTCTATCTAAAATTATGTTTAAAATGAAACTAAAAATATTTTTAAACATTTTGCCGAATTTTTCATCGGTAAAAAGTGTCTGAAAATGGAAATGTTGCATTTTAAGTTCATATTTTGCTTTAGTCTGTGTTTAATAGTTAGGAGTCTGTAGCTTGGAATACTTAACCTAGACATGTTGTTTGGTATATTGTAGTTGGCCGATTTTTGACACATATAATTTTATTTTTGAGTTGAAAATGTTCAAATTTACCTCCCGGTTGAAAATTGTCTTTCTTTAATATTTATTTTGTCATTTAAAATACGAAAAAAAACTCAACAACAGTATACAGGTACTACTATTTTGAACCCGTATCATTTCATTTCAGATCAAACATATTTTATTTATTGAGTGATTTTTGAAGAGGAACTAAGATTTGGTGTGACTATTTTTGCAATGGTATGGATAATATTATAGCAATCCAACGCGAAGAGTGGTGACCGCTGGCGCAATTATTTGTATCACGCAATTCTGATTAGGTACTAGTTAGGTAGTCGGACGGAATTCGTCAATAACTCAATCGCTTATTTCCCCTTAATCGGACTTTGGGTTGTTACCCAAAAATGTTGTACACGATAAACAATTTAGTGAAATAACAAGAGGGTGAAGTATAGAACCATAGTATTATTATTAATTGTATCGATCGAGTGGTTGATATAGTTCTTCGAAAATCTATGACGACGTATCTATTCACATACGACTTCGGTTATCTAAGATCCATCCGACGAGTTTTTTTTTTTTTTTTGGTCGACGTAATAATACAACTTGAACGTCGTAATAAAAATATAATAATATATTCGGTGACCGTGCACAGGAATCGCCGGCGGTCTTTTTGGATTCCCGGTAGACTGCAAAGAGAACGGAATTTCAACGATTTTAATTTAACCGATAATCGATAGTATATATATTTATATAAATGTAGGTTATGTGAAATATGTATTGTGTACTTTGTCGTCGAGGGTTTGTGCTTGAATCCGGCAAAGGTAGAAACGGAAAATGTTTTTTGATTCAATAAAAAATAAATTATAAAAAAAAAAGGAGCATTTATTTATTTGGCAGCCATTAAATCCCGTACCAATCCGAAAGCTGCTCTTTACAACAGCAGTCTTCCGTGGTATTGATAACGACCAAATATAATGAGAGAATAAAAATCATATTATATTGTCCATATAGTGTATATTATTATGCGCCGAACACTATACATTTTTTTTTTGTCGATGTCATACATTTCCTTGACGTTGAAAACTATACTCTTTAGCGAAAACCGTGGATAGGTATGACAAGCATCGACGACAATAATAATATTATTATCCCGGTATGTTTATGAAAATGAACGGACGCGTGGGATCATATATTATAATGAGTGTATTTCGGGTTAGCCGGTTTTTGTTCGTGTCTGCGTATAGACAAGTATATAACATATCATGTATGTATATATATTGTATGGTTAATTGCCTGGTATGGAGGATGGAAATTTGACGAAAATGTGCGATCAATAGTTATAAATAATACACATCCTCTTATGCGGCCATAGAATAAATTAACTCCACAAGCAAAAGGGTGTGATTCGCTTTAATGTCGGTATCAACATATTAAGTTATTTCAACTTGTGCATTATATGCGTGCGGATAATATTAACACCGTACGTGTGTGTGTGTGTGTGTGTGTGTGTGTGTGTGTGTGTGTGTGTGTGCATGCGTGTAACGGTGCGAAAGTAAAAATTCTAAAATGGGACGTATTACATTTACTAGTCGATGTTTACCTTAGGTACCTACAGATTACATTTGAACTTTAGCTGAACGAGGAGATTTGTTCACGACGGGTGTAAAAAAACATTTATACTTCAGGAAAATCACCGTATATTACTCGGTACACATAAATCGTGTCTATTATAGGGCATATAGGGTTTAACAACGAACAAACAACATCAGACACATTATTGTAATAGTAAAAATATAAAAGGTCTTTTTAGAAACAGTCTGTTTCATATTTTACAAATATCAATCTGGTGCATTTTAGGTCACCGTAGTCATTTATTATTCCATTATTTAGCCTTAACAATACATATAGGATTTATTGGCAGGACATCTGTTCTATCGGGTTTTTGTTTTATATCAATAACGAATCGTAATAATAATTAATATTAGACATTTTCTAATAACTGTTTTTAAATGGCAAAATTGTTACGCAAGTTAAAAAATACCAGTGTCCATAAAACAGATCCATTCAAATGTTTGCAGACAATTTATATCTATTTATTACAGCTAATAAACATTATCATCTAATTGTATATTTATACAACAGCTACATCGCACCTCTTGTTGCTGTGCTCTTATAGTATTTCAACAACTCACTCTAAATAGGTATAAGTTAACGTAAAGTTAAGATCATTATACTTTAACTTTATGCAATTTAAATCATAAGGTATAAGTGTATAACTATATTACGCAGTCTGCAGTAAGTGCATGCTATTGTTTACTCGAATGTGATTAATATTTGAAAACAGCGAATAATAATTGTAATAATAAAAATCAAAACCACAGGCAATAAATCGTTCAAAAACATTAATCGTTAAGAATAAAACAAAAAAAAAGTTTGGATGAAAAACCTTGCAGGCTTTGGGGATGAGATAAAACAAAAACAAAAAAAAAACCATTGGACGATTTGCCAAACACAATTAAAAATAATACATAATTTGTGAACGTTAAAATCAAAACTTTTGCAATGTTGTTAGTACTGTTAGTACTCGTGTGATCGATGACGAATGCAAATTAATATTGTTAATATATTTTATTTGAGAATATTAATTATTAAGTAGTTATAATGTTTAATGTTTTCTACCTTGCCCTAATTTAATCCTAACACAAACGACCATATAAAATTAATAATTAAAAATATCGTCAGTATATAACATGTACCTATTGTTGTATACGATTTCATAAAATAGTCTATATTACAACATTGTCAGAAACATAATATTTAATTATTACAAATCCTAGGAAATTATAATATTATGTCGGCGAATAATGTAAATATTTATCAACCGTTTATTAAAATAAAAATATTTAATTTTTAATAATCGTGAATTTTAACACAATAACATGATTAATATAGAGTAAATGGTTAGTTGAATAATTAAAATGGCAAAATAAACAACTACCGCCTAATTAATATGTAAATGCTACGATTAAATTCACTTATATACCATTAACCTTTATTACATAAAAAACATATTTACTTGGTGAACATCGTCAATGGTAATTTTTATGTATAGCTTAGATGTATATAATATAACAATAATATTGTTATATTAAATTGATGCCTATATTTTGTTTAAAATCATAATACCTTTATATAAACATATTTCTAATAAAACGAACTAAAAACACGTTTGGCTTCTTAACTAACCTTATTATTATAATTGGAAAAAAATATTACCCAACAACTCATAGTAGTTTTAAGTTAATTAAAGTTTTGAGTTCCAAAAGTAGTATTAGTTATATAGTATGGTATCGAGTTACTTTTCAACAACATAATTATGTTCTTCATTATTTTTAGTAGTACTTACCTATTTCAAAAACATAATAATGTATGAGGTATTATAATAATAATTCTATTCATAAACAAACATCATGATATATAAATTGAATTTGTAAGACCAATATTAATAAACAATAATATTTTTTCCAATATCAAATCAGAAATTTTGTTTTATTTTCTAAAAGGGTTCAACAATATATTGTTATGATTTCATTAGGCTTAAGAATGAAATAAGTTTTTGAATTAAGTATTAGTACATGAATTATTAAAAGATTGTTATAACAGTTAACTATATGCATATTCGTCACTTATGTGTTTATTCCATGGCAATAATACATTTTATGTTTAAGATATTTTAAGACAATACCTCATGAACACACGGCGCTTTAGAGAGGCAAAATAAGTACACCAATTTCGAGATTTCAATTTCGCGATGGTATCATAAATTATATATTATTATCACTAGAGCTTTTGCAATTTTTTTTCTCTAAGTGTTATACAATTATTACCAAAAACTAAATTTGTTTCGTAATAAACAATTTAAAATATGTAATTTTTATTTTGTATTTTTTGTGTTAAATGCATTTTATTGCATTTATAACGTCATTTTTAAGTAATATTACAAATATTTCGTTCATTTTGTTTATTTAAACTAATTTTTGTTTATTTTAAGCTTTATTAATATGTGTCGTAAAGATAATCCCAATTAGTACCTATGAGCAATTACCTACTCACGTCCATTGATATTGAAAAAGTAATATAATTAATTGTCGATTTACCCGATAAGATTAAATATCGAACGAACCCATAACTATTTAGGTATACAATCGTAGCTTTAGTAGTGAATTCGACCCGTACCTATGTGGTTCTACCGATCTTAACTGTCCAAAATGCAAAAAATTAGGTTAACAATATCAAACAAACTGAACAATGTTTTGATGAAAAATAATGGGTTCAAAGTTTTAAAAAATATATCTGCTATTCTGGACGGTGAAAATACAACAAGACGTAGTGATGGTATACCGGAAGACCAAAATTTAAATGATATGGTTCATTTCAAATATGCCCCTGTTACTTCTGTGGACGTTGGACGAAGTTTTTCTTCATATAAAAACATTTTATGTGACCACCATCGCGGTTCATCTAATTGTACAATGCAATTATATGTGTACAGGTGAAAAAAAAAAAGTATGATACATTTTTCATTAAATTATTTTAATTTATGCTTTTATCGATTTTTCAGAATGATTATATCAGGAAGCGGTTACATTCACAAGTCTATTATGTTCATAATTAATAATTAATAATAATATTTATTTTTAAAATAAATTTTTTTCACTCGTCTAAGTACATATTTTGGTCATTTTTTAAGTTCAGTTTTTAGAGTTTTTAGGGCATTTATGCATTTTTGCATTTTTTGTGTTTTTTAGGTCATTAAAATCTTAGCTCTAATTATCTGTATACATTTTTACATTCATATGGAAAAATAAAACACAAACATTCACAAAAACACTGCTTTAAAACAGTCACATGCAAGCTTTTACTACTATTAGCTAGTACAGCGTGTTTATGTGACACTTTTTTGAAAATTTTGATGTATCAGAATATAAATTCAAAAGAATAATTTTTGAGTTATTTAACTTTTATGTACTAAGGTAAATGATAATAAGTGTGAAAGATATGGGGGCGGCTTTGACGATATAAAAATAATAGGAAATAATTTTAATTTTTAAAAATTGCCGGAGTACAATAAGAATTATGTTAAAAATTATTATATACAATAAATGATGCATTTCACATTTTTGTAAAACCATTTTTATCATAAACATTTAAAAAAATTAAAAGTAAAAGGGTTGATTCTTATAATTGAAAAAAAAATTGTATTGCCACAGTATGCTCCTTAAATTGTATTAAAAAATTTAAGTATTTTAACATTTAATTAAAAATAAGAACTTTAAAAATACTTACGTTGTATACTTAAAAAATTTAAAAAATGAGAATTTGTAAAATTAATTGTTGAAAGGATAAACGGAGATGATCTTGCATGGTGAATCACCCTGTATGTTTATTGTATAATACTAAAATATCTGGTGGTAGCAATATATATTTAGCGTACCGTCTTTCGGCGATACTATAGCCTGCGAGCAGATATGGTTTTTAACTTTTATTTTACAAAGACCAAAGTGCGCGAGCGGGGCTAAAGAAAAGCAATAAAAAAAAAAATAAGAAGAAGAAGAAGATAAAATAAAAGAAGAGTCAGTCTCTCTTGTCCTGGCTGCGATAAAACCACTCAGCGCGATTTCTATTTCCGCATCCATTTTCTCGCAATAAACCTCCACCGTCACCACGCCTGCACCTCTCCACCTGCGAACAGCCTTTGCAGCGATTCCATTGTAACCTTGAATCCCTTACCCATCTCCGCCATTCCCGATGCATAGGTGGGTCGAGAAAACCCTGCTGGGCGCAAAACAATAACTTTTTTTTTAACGTACTTTCTGATATCGTGTCAAATATCGCGTTATTGTCTAATGATGCGCGCGCTTGTGTTTGTGTGTTTATGGAATTTGTTTTCTTTCTCAATCGATCGGTGTTACACTTTCGTATCTATAGCTGTTTCACGTTACAGGGTGATCCATGTGACTCGTCACGCTTGCATTTCCAGTCGATTTTCGAAAAAGTACAGCTTTTTATGCGTTATAAATAACGTAATAATGTGATACGATGTTACACCGTAGTACCTACATTTTGGCAAAAGTCATAACTCTTCAGACGAGTTGAAATACACGCTGTGTCATAAGTTGCATACTGTTTGGACTATATAATACAATGGGTGGTATGATATACATATCAGTATTATAAGAGGGGGAGGGGTTTGTAGTTCGGATGAAATACTTGAGTGGGAACTACGTGTCGAATATCTATAATATGTTAGCGTCCCGAATAGAGTATACTCGTAAAATCATATTTACACGCATAAACGTTAAAATTGAGTATCAAACTAAAAGCGTGTTAAGATTATGATGGATTTATAAACTTCAAAATTCATTCTGAAAGGTATTTAAAAAAAATTACTCAACAAGTACCAATAAAGTGTCCAATAATTCCAAAAATACCATTACTTAAGCAAACAAAAAAATAAGGTTCTTTGAAATAATAAAAGAAAATTCCATTTATGAATGTTACAGTAGTTAATTTAGGAGTAACTTTGTTGTCTTATGTATTTATGTAATATTCAGTATTGTTCATACTATACAGTATAGTCATATTAATATATTATACTAATTTTATTTTTTATTTTTCATATCATCAATGACTTAACAAAATAATCTTCCAACCGTTATCATTTTTATTTATAGCTCCAATTTTGGTAGAACGAATGAAGTGTACAATTATTCGGTTTATCGGCTTAAAATATTAACAAACCGACAGAAACACGCAATATTATTACAAAATAATCAGATTATGAAATAATATCATATGTTGTAATATTATTAGGATTGTAAATGAACTCAACCTAGTGAGATCTTGGGTTTTATGATTATTAACTCTCATAGTATATAAGAATTATAATAATAATAATAATACTAAAAACAAGATCAATAAGACAAGACGTATTATTATAGTGAAAATTAGATGAAATCAATGTGCGAACGAGTAACAATGTAGGAGCACTGTACCTACTAAGCGTATATTTTTTCGAATAATAAGTACATTCAACACTTATAATTTAATAATTTACAGGGTGATTGATTCACCAAACATATTCACCCCCATTTTTCCTTCAATGCAGAGCTTATTACATTTCTTTAGATTTTTTTTACTATATAAAGAGTGTCTTGTAGAGATAATGATAACCTTTTATACTACAATTTTAAAATCACCATAACCCTTATATTTTCCAAACCCATTGTCATTGACTATTATCTTTAGTTAAATAACTTAAAAACGACTAATTCGAATTTTGATTATGATGTGTCATTATTTTCAGATAAATTTTCCACGAAATAATTACGAGTTTGGAAAATAGTTTTCAAGTATACTTAAAAATTCCAAAAAATCAGATTTTGAATAACTGCAATATTGAAAAATAAAAAGAGGCGAACAAATACCTTTGTGAACCACCCTGTATATTATGGCGATAATGCAGTTTTTACGTAATGCTAGATAATAATTTACAATGCCACTAAATGTAATAGGAAGTTTTTAAAATTGCAGCCTACAAGCAAAAAAAAAAAATATGAACTGTAATCTTTTAACGGCCCGTGAACAAAATTACAAAGGTTCATTATACCATCAGTCTAAACTTAATCCCCATAGGTTTACTGTCATCGTTTGTAAAACACAATTAACTATCCTACCGAAATGACCATGTTATTAACTATACATTTATATAATGAAGAATATGCGAACTGCAGACGTCCTAATTATACATAAAGAATTAAGTTTCAACACGTACCTAGTGTTGCATTCACGCCATATAATTTCACGACACGTAATTTTCAGAGACAGATATTTTACCGCCGCGACTGTTTTATTAGTTTTATATTTTGGAAGACGGAAAAACTTTTTAACAGGATTATACGACAGTAGCTCACTGAAAGACGCGTTACTTCGCATTTTCGTGCAACGTTATAATAATTTTTAAATTTTTTTCGTAATTAAATTAAAGGTGTGATTCCTGAGAGGGCGTCGGCATAATTGTTTTTAGAATTTTTTTTCTCTGAATATAATAAATTATAATATACAATAATGAAATAATGAAAGCTCTTATTCTCTCATCAATGCGTTTTCAAAATGCTTCGTGAATATCGGTGCACATCGGATTGTATAGTAATTAAAATAAATTCCCTAGTACTTTTTTTTTTTACGGTTCTAATCAAAACACAATTAGACCCGTGTTATTAATGCACTATTGAATTTTTTCAGCAACAATTAAAATAGTCAACAACGATTACGCTTTGAAAATAAATTATTATATTATGTCCACCGCATTTAATATTGCCAACACTTTATTTTTTCCATTTAACTAAGTACCTGAATAACTTATTTGAAACTACCAATCAATAATATATTTACATATACATAATATAAACTGTATATAATAATGATAAAAATTAATGACTCTGACTTCAAAATCGCTTCCAATAGTAACATGTGTCCTTGACAAAAAAAAAATGATTGTACACGATATTGAATTACAATAATTATTGATTAGGTTTTGTTAAAAAAACTCTCAAGAAATAAACGGTAGAGTAGCAATAAAAGTATGAATACCATTTAAATGCTTATACAATAGGTACGCCAAATTGGGAATTTAATTTTTGACAAGATACAACTTTAATAAAACCATTATAAATAATTATAATATATTTTATTTAATACATTTTTATATGTCAAACAATACGACCCTTCGAATTAATAAATCGGTAAGATTGGTTGATTTATGCATCGATTCGCTTTGTATGAAATTAAAAAAAAAACAATCACCCCGTAAAACGAGCATTAATAATATTGTCGAATAACAAACATTTCATTGGTTTCGGATACTTTTATAAAATGTTGATAACTATTACTTGTGAGTTTGCAGCGTATTTTCGTAATTTCTACGTTTTCGTCTGGCTTTTCAAAGTCACTGCAGCAGATGTACAACTATTATTGGTTTCTTCAGAGGATGCAAACAGCTAGTTGTCTAGGTTTTTTTTTAATTTAATACATAGAACATGTTATATTTTTGAGCTCGTCCTCTATTAAAATTAATTTTGAAATTTCGCATATTATTTCACTTCAACCCTGGGCAATGATTGAGAACTAAAGCAATTAAAACGTTAACCCGTCCAGCTAAGAAGAACAATATCGTTTTAGACAACAAGCAGCTAGTGGATATTTTGGATTTGCAAAGAGAACTTTAATTAAACGCATATTTCGTAAACCTAAAATCCTCAAAGTATGATTTCGGCGACGCGTCTGCGATCCATATTTCAGATAATAGACGCACTTCCCGTATAACATTTTAATGGCACCAATTTCAGCGTTACGTGACAGTCATATCATAATAATATCAGCCGAATAAACGGCGATCATTGTATAAGACACGTTTTTAAAGAGTTGTGTCAAAAGTGCAATGTAAATAATTGTATTATTTTTCCATGTATTTCAAAGTATAGTTTACCGTTCGTTATCGCAAAACCAGTACATGTCGGAAGAAAATAATTAGTGTACCCACCGTAGTATAAATAAAATTAGTTACATCAATATACTTCAATCGGTCTATATAAAATATAAAATTATGTCATCACTGTATTATGATTATTGATTATTGATGAATAGCATTAGAACTACGTGAGTCATGACGTGTCAT